ACAAATCCATGTGCAACTGCAGTGCATCTACAATATGTTAAAAAGAAGAAAAAGAAAGGTCTTAGATACGTAGTACGCGTTCAAAGCCTGTTCTGAATCAGAAGCCTTTCAGAGCACCAAGGATTGCCAGGAAACTGGAACTCAGCCTGGTCTGTGTGCCTTGTTTTGATTTAAACAGACCATTGAAAACACTTACTTGTTCCATGCAGTTGCAGTTCATAGTTTGATATATTTTAAATCTGGATAACCTCCACTATCTCCAGAGCGCGCCCCCCCCCCCACTTTCTTTTCATAGTGGCAGGAAAAGCACATGGATGCCTGTCGATTTTTGAAACTTTTTATAAAGACAATGATGTGTGCTGGTATCATAATTCAGAAAAGCCAGAACCAACTAAAAGCTGTTTTGAACCCATATCATTAAATGCATTTTCCTACATTAAAATGTTTAATAAATAAAAACTAATGGTCCCAATTTCAAAGGTTATTAATGAAGTGAAATAAAAAAGTTGTAACTGGTTAACACATAGATAGCAGTGTTCTGGCCAGACTGGTCTCACTGAGGACATAGTTAAAGGAATAGTTACTTCAGAAACCATTGTGACAGGCTTTATATTTTAAAATTTGATCTTATGAGGAGAAATAGTAATTAGGTTTTTACTAAAGTATAAGAAAAGTAAAGACTCTGAAATGTATTTATCCAAGAAAAAAATTGATTTAAAATATTCATATCTTTATTTCTTACCTGAAATTATTTTCATTTTTATTTTTGATGTCTTTTATTCACTGTACTGCTGTTCTTCCACTTTGGGAAATTGCGGCTAGAGCCTTAATGTTTGTAAACTCCCTCATTATATCTTTGTTTTGCATATATTTAGATCTTCTTATCTGCACTCAGGGTTAACTCCAATATCTTCAGGAAATCATAGGATTTTATAGCATTGAAAAGCAGAAATGATCCTGTTTTAGTCTCTTCCAAGGTTGAGTGAACTAAATCTCAGAAAGGCTGTGCCAATTTGCCCACAGTGATAGCTGTGGGATTAGAATTAGAACTCTAGTTCTGCTTTTCTTATGCCACAACACATACTTAGATGGCATTGAGAATTACCTCAGAAAACTTTTGACAGTTTTATCAGTATTTAGTTCACAAGCGAGTATTTTATTGTAACTGACAGTGTTATCTACTAAGCTTTATACGCCTTCCAGTTTGCAGTTGGAATAGCTAAAAATAACTCATTTGAGTTTAATCTTACTTGAGTCTAAATTTTAAAATTTACCATTTAGAATTTTTCTCTTAAGAAATTCTCATGAAATTTCACTCAAAAAAAAAAAAGCTGTTAGAAATTTTAAGTGAATTTAAAATGAAAGTTTGGGGAAGATGAGTTCTTATGAATATACTTAACATTGAACATGCCATGAGAAAGCTGTGCCTCTTCCAGTGCTGTGTTTATTATCAGAATCCCCAGAGATATTGAGGAACTAGGGACTTTGAGTAGAGATAATTAACATTTAAAAAAATTAGTTGTAGCATGTCGCTACATCAGCAATGAAAGCAACTGACAAATTCTGTACCTTTTCAAGTTTTCTGGTGTGTTTGTACACTCACATACTTGTATCTAAAGCAGTGAAGAAAAGTTCTAAAAAATCTAGAAAGCAAACAAAAGAAAAAGTCTATGGTTTGTCTAGAAGTTGTAATTCAAATATAGTGTAGTTTGTTTTAATGTTTAGCTGGCAACCAAAGTATTTATTACATTTCTTCAGAACTAAATGAAACATTTGTGTGGGTTAGCAGCCTAAAATCTCATATATTTAGAGCTTAACACAAAGCAAGAATATAAAAGATTCTGAAGGTTCAGCTTGATTTTGAGCCAGTGCTGAGCAAAGAAAATGTGTAAGACCAAAAAAAAAAAAAAAAAAAAGGTCCCGTAGGAAATTGTATCCAGTGAAGTGCCACTTGTTCTTCTGTAACTGGAATTTAACAGTCTCTAAAGATGAAACTGCATCAGAAATGTGACAGTGATACCAGCTGAGCATGTCAGCTCCAGCAGCCCAGCCTCTGTGTGCTCCTTTATTCTACCTTTCTCAGATGCTCAGGGTTTTTCTTTCTCCTGTGTTTCTCACCCATCCCTTTTTGCCTTTCCCCCTCCATTTCCTTTTTCTGTTCTCTCCATCATCCCTATCCCTGGATCTTTTGCCCCACTTCCTCTGCTTCTCGCCCCTGATTTTCTCTTTAGTCTCCCTCCTTCTCTAGAAGAACAACGTGTCTTTGATCTGTTTTATAGGAACTTCAAATTCATCTGCATCATTTTATACACAACTGGGTTTTGTCCTTCAGGTTCCTCAAAGACTACTTTTTTTAAAAAAATAATTAATTTTACATTTGATTTGTGTAGTTTTTAGTTTTTCCCTCATTACACAAATGTGTTTTAAACTTTTTAATCAGTAAAGGCAATGGAATTTTTTATATCTTTCATTAAGCTCACCATTTTGGTGTTTCTATTACAACTTTGCTTTATAATGGTAAAAGTCTGCCTATGGTTATAGCATGGACTTAATTTTAAAAAGCTAACTTGTTTTCACTTAAATTGCTGTTTAGTGATTTAGCCTAAGATTTCTTTTGCCATAATCTCAGAGTACTTTTTGAATTAATTTAGCCTTTGCATTGGAACAATCAAACATTAGCTTAATATGCTTTACATGGTACTCTCAAAGCTAAGTTTTCCCTGCATTAACTGGGTTGTTCTATGACAACTTGCTTAACAGATGTCATTCTGGGAAGGACAATGAAGCCAAATACTTGTGCAATGGCTAACATTGCTCTAACTTTGATCACCTTTGTTCAGCACATCAGTCTGTCATTGTGCTTTATACCAACATAGCACTATAGCCAGAACATGCCTTTCAGGCTTAGAATAGCAGGGGAATGCCATTCAGTTCCATGTAGTTATATGTGAGTTGATGAAACAAAAACTGCTGTTTATTTCATGATATTGTATCATTATAGTTTGAGATTAAGGTAGAAATTAAGGAATTTCACTCCAAAGTTATTTGTTTATGCACCCATCAAGTTTGTGCAAGTTTCCAGTGCTGGGGTAACCTCCCCACTTTCCCAGCACACACAGAGGTTTTCTGCTTTTGTTAAAAAAATAACTGATGAGCTTGGTGTATCTAGGAACTCAAACGTAAGTTTAAGGAAAGTGATTTTTTTCTTGAAGTCTAAAGATTCCTCATGCATTCTTTTCTGTCTTTTCTCTTTTATGAATGTAATGCTTTGGATTCTTGAAGCCCATTTGTCCCTGAGAATACTAATATTTAAGGGTAATGAAATAGACTCAACTAGTGAAACTGCTTAAAGGCTGGTCCAGTTGCCTTTGGCTAAGTTGTTGGATTGGTGAGGACTGATCAAAGTTTCCAAAGTTGGGACGACTATAAGCGAAATACTGCATGGTACCTGAGCATTGCTAAGGGACTGTGGAGAAAAGCTGCTTATTTAAATTGAGCGGGGGATCAAGCCCTGTCCTCACCTCCTCAGAACTCACCTACCCCTCTCCACCACCCCCAAGTGGATGTTAAAGATAAAAATAGATTGAGTTCCATGTTTTGTTTTGGTTTTTCCTTGGTATGTGTACATTACTGCTTCACTGGAAGGGTAGCTTTGATATGTTTGTATATAGTACAGAGTAATATGATAGCAGTGCTGAAGCTGAGAAGCATGGCACTGCATTTAGAAGATGATTTAGTAGCTCCTGTCAGTGGTCATATTAAAATCTTAGCTATAGACCGTAAGGGCAATGCCCCAAAATTAACCCAAATGTTAGAGAAAACTGAAGAGCTAGGTAATTTGGACTGCCTCCTCATTACTAGAGCTAACCACTTTAATTGGAAATGAAGAATAAAATAGGATTTGTTTGCTGTTTAGAAAAAAACGCTAAGAAATTAAAGAATGCTATGACTCTGGCATGGGGATGAGTTTGCAGGGGTCTTCTAAACTGTCCAAGCTGGCTCCTTAGGGTTCTTCTGCCCCACAGTGGACCACTGCCATCAGCAAGATATGTTCCTTCTCGTCACTGGATAGCAGAAAGCTGTACTCTGTACAACCTCGTGTTTATTTTTGACTTGACTATTCTCTTTTTAAAATGAAAGGTATAGAGTTACTGTTAGGCTTGTTTTGAGACAGGGTCTCACTAAGTAGTTCTGGCTGTCCTGGAACTCACAGTGTAGCATTTATTTTGTTTATAGGAGAAGCTAAGATACTATATTAATGAAAACCTCATTTTTGAAGTTGGAATGATTTCATAGAAATCACAAAACCTGATTTATATTGTTCTATGCCTTTAACTAAAACATAACTTCAATCCCTACTCCCTTCAACCAAAGTTCATCTCTTCTTTTTAATGGGAACTTGAAATATACTTTTGTTTGAATCATTAAGTTTTAAAACTGAATTACTTAAAAACATTTGTAAATGTAATAAGCTCTCAGTGAAGCATTACCTGAAATTTCCTAACAAAAAAGATGCTTGAATTCAGCCAGTGATCAGAAACAGTCAGGATGGGTGTGGAGCGAGGACTCGTGGTAACAGTGCATACATACTGTCCTTGCAGAAAACCTGAATCCAGTGTTGAGCAGCCGCATGGCGGGGCTGACGAGCCCTTGTCACTCCAGCTCTCAGGAATCTGGTGCCTGCAGCTCCTGAGTGTACCCACGCTCGCATGCACATTCTCTACCTGCACAGACATGCACACACTAAAAACATCAGTCACGAGAGCAAATTACTTCTGGAATATTACTTTACGTAGCCTTCACTGGAATTCTGCTCTTAAATTTATGCCATGTTTTAATTTGTAAAATTTTTCAACTTGTGTTATTGTAAATTGTTGTTTTGAAGCTAAAGGAAAATATGAATTAGTGTTTTGTCTTTAAGAAATGAACTAAAGCTACCGTTATTTTACACTGTAAAATAATGTCAGTCCTGTTTTAATTATGTCGCTTTCTTTTTATAGGTGAAGAGAAATGTGTATGACCTCACAAGTATACCTGTCCGACATCAGCTATGGGAGGGCTGGCCAGCTTCTGCTACTGATGACTCAGTAAGTTACAGTCCACCTTACGACCTCCCCAGGGCAGTAGAGGTGGCTTTTATAGGCAGAATCAAGTGCTTTGAGCTTTACATTAAAATAACATTTATTCATGTCAAGTCATGTCAGAATTTTAAAAACAGATTTTAATAATTTGAACATATTTGCAGAACAAATGTCCATAAGCCACACACATTAATATACTGGTAATGATATGTGTCAGGGTCAGCGACTTGTTATTACTTAAGTCGACTTAAACTTTTCCTTGATGAGAATATATTGGGTTGTTATTAATAAGATGTTCAGAGTGAAGGAAGAATTTTCCTAAATCATAGATATTTCAAATCAACCTACCATACATTTACAAATACGTGTCTGTGTATGTGTGCATATGTTTCAGTGCTCTAGCACTTTAAAAATTATTATATTTTACAGTTGATATAAATATCTTTAGATAGCTCTATACATTTCACTACCATAAGAAAATCAGAAAATATTAGGTTATCTTTCAAAATACCAATTTATAAATACTTTTTCTTATAAATTTGGAAACCTCTCTGCTATTTTCCCAATAATTAACTCTTTTTCCAAAGGATAAATGTTATCATCTTAAGAAGCCCACTGATGTGAAGTTTTGGCCCTCTCTCCCCATATTTACTTACCTACCTGCTCTTAACAGATAACTGTCTTGCATTAGGGTTGGTTTTGTTGTTTGTTTTAAATATTTTGTTTAGTTTTTGAAGTTTATACAGTATATTGGAGTCTGTGTTGGCTAACTTGCTGAGCATAAGGCCTGTGCTGAAGGATGGTTGATAACTCATTGTCACTCCATTGAAGAAAGTGATTTTTCCTCTCCTAGCAGCTGTTATTGCAAGTAACTTCCTAGCTGGGGGTGAGAATTTGTGCCCACTCTTATCTCTCTGTACTGGAGTTTTGTTTGACCTAAATTCGTGTACTGGGTAGTACTCACAGTCTGTGTGAGCTTGTATGTGCATCAACCCTCTTGTATCTGTGAGGCTGCCCACCATTTCTGGCTCACATAATCATTCCACTCCTCTTGCTCGTAGGTCTCTGAGTCTTGAGGCCCGGGGTACATGCAGACATCTGCTCTAGGGCTGAGTGCTCTACTGTCCCTCACTCTATGTGCACTGTGCAGTTGAGGGTCTCCATCAGTCCCTGTCTACTCCAAGAGGGTTTTTCTGACCCGGGGCCATGGCAATATGCCATTAGGGTTCCATCACTTTTTTGTTTTATGTGTGTGTTTCTATTGGTAGAGGACAGAAGAAGGCATCAGATGCTCTGGAGCTGGATTTACAAGGAGTTTGGAGCCACCCGTTGTGGGTGCTGGGAACTGAACTCAGGTCCTGTGAAAGAGCAGCAAGTGCTCTTAACCTCTGAGCCATCTCTCCAGCCCATAACATTTTAAAATGCAAACAGGAGGATGTTTTAGGAATTCTAAGTTAAATATAATTTTAAAAACAAATAATGCTAAAAAGGGATCGAGGACTTTGTAAACGTAGTATAATACCAAATCATGATTGTAGCTAAGAAATGAAATAGCTTTTCTTATTTTTCTAATAAATACTATGCGTGTTTGGACAGTTACTATTCTTCTGCCATTGCCGCCTAACATGGTAACACAAAATCTTTTGGAAGACACGATAACTCTAGGACAGTGTTGATGAAGATACTATTTGATTCAAGCTACTGTGTAAACCATGCACCTTTGGAGAATACTGTGTGGGTTTCAAACATTTAAAACAGTCAGAAACACTAGTATTCTTTGCTAGCACTTGTATTTAGTATCTCATTGGAACTATTGGTTGGTTGGCCACAGCCAAAACCAAAGCTGTAACTGTTGCCTTTTTGGTAAGTTTTGTTTGCTCACTTTGGTGTTTTTTATTTGATTCTTTTTTTTCCTGTCAGGATCTAAGAAGTCAAGAAAAAGCAGAAATGTTCTTTTAGAGTTGTCTAAAACTCATTATAAGACATAAATACCATCATTAGAAGTAGATGGTTAAGATCTTAGTACATTACTACAATTCTCTATATTCCAGTCACTTTCTACATTATTGTCATTATTATTATTATTATTATTATTATTATTATTATTATTATTATTATATTGGCTTTTTGAGAAATGGTTTCTCTGTGTAGCTTTGGCTTGCCTGGATTCTCTTTGTAGACCAGGCTGACCGCAAACTCACAGATGTCCTTGCCTCTGCCTCCAGAGTGCTGCGATTAAAGGTGTGTGTCACCAGGCCTGGCTTCCACCAATTTTATGAAAACTAATGGTAACATATTTATACTGTGTGACTTACAGTAGACAGTAAAGAAATCCATCAGTATTGTACTCAATAACTCAAGTGTGATAACCAAGAATTGACTGATTTGAGCATAGGAAAAAGTATCTGAAGTTAGCTACAAGATTACCTGCGGAGTGAGGAATGAATGAGGATAGAGGCAGTCCAGATTATCCATCTGTTGAGCAGTACTGGAGCTGACTAATATATGTGGCTTATAAATGTGAAGTTTACTATAATTTAAAGCCAATAACAAGCAGAAATGACATAAGGATAGAAAATGATGGAGAAAGTCTTAAAATTGCAAGGCTTCATAAGCTTCAGAGTAAATCTACAAGTTCTGAGTTTAGACAAAAAAATTGTTTTGACTCCACACTTTCTGAAACCAGGAAATAAGCTAATTAAGTTACAAACTCAAAAGTAACACAAAAATAAAGCAAAGTATGGCCTGTTCCTTGATACCTATGCAGTCTGTGTCCTGATTCATTGAATTAGTTTGAGTCAGTCTTTATGAGACTTGTAATTTCATTATTTAGGAAAATCAGCAGGTTAAGCTCTCAGTAAGCAGAATTGTAGCACTACCTGGTGCTGTATCTGTCACAGCAAGCATGAGAGGGAATCCCCATTAAGCTTTATCCTGTTGCCTCATTATTCATATTTGCACCTTTTTCCAGGACCTGTGAAGTGGTGCCTGCCCACACTTCCCAAAAGCAAATGTTGCCACATTGGCAGAACGTGCCTTGAGCTGCATGGTTTGACACAACAAAGATGTTTAGGGCCAGGTGGCTTCTAGCTGGTGCCACTGCAGATCCGCTAGCTCCAGTGTCTGAGTTCAGGCCAAACAAGTCATAACTGTGGTCTTTGGAGAGAGTCTAGCCAAATAAATGTCAGAAACTTCTGTTTCATTAGGACCGTAAAAACACGTAAAGCTAGCGCTTTATAAGAAATCCGTATTGTTGCAGGTGGTGTTGCTTTTGTACTTACTGAAAACACTCAAGTGGAGGCATCTGCTACAGAACAGGGTAGTCCTCACAGCTTAGGCCAGGAGTTGGGTACAGCTGAGAAATGTCAGCTGTGTAAACAGTCTAAAATGTGTTACCAACAAAAATATAATTAACATCTTTCCAGGACAGTGTGCCATAACTTACTATGTAGGGTGGCTTCACATTCAGTGACAGCACCTGAAAACCTGCTTCTCACTGCCAGGCTAGAATGTGGACCACAGAGGTCTCTGAAAGTGAACTCTGTACTCGTTGTTTGCACAGTAATAGTTTTTGTGTGGCTTTGACTATACAGAATGTGATTAGAGTGGCCTCCCAGTATTTATGGAAATACTACAGATCAGGAAAGTAATCAGTCTGGGGAGATGGGAAATATTATAAACTTAAGTTAGAGTAAATTGAATTGAGCATTTTAAATTAATAAATGTTAGGGCATGAAGTTTTCATCACTTTGACCTTTTCTCTTTAGGAAGGTAAGGAAGGATTAATTTATAAGACTTCATTTATGTTTTCATACTGTATAAAAAATACTCTTCAGTATAATGGTCATTAATTTTTTTCTTAGAAACAGGACAAAGAAATGGACTTTTTATAATTAGATTCTTGTATTGTCTTAAAGGATCTCATAACCTGATAGACTTTGGTATTCTGCTATTTTCCAGCTACAAAGTAAAGTCAGCAAACCCTGAAAACACTGTTGCAATCTCTTCAGACTTAAAAACATTTTCTTGCTTATAGCTATAGTCTTATTGGGACATGAGATCCTGTACACCGCCAACAAAAATTTTTTTTAAGTTCCCTTTGCACTCTTACATAAGGGAAATAGGGATCTGAAGTGGCCTCCGCAGTAGGAGGTGTTTTCAGACTGGTAGTGTAGTTCAGCTGCGAGAACAGGGACTTTTCAAGGAGGTGACATCTCATCTTGCATGTTAGCGAGGACGCCCTTGGCTTCCAGACAGTCAAAGTAAGTTTAGCACTCCCAGTGATGTCTAGACATTTTATGAATGCAGTTTAAATATATGGTCATCTGAAGTAATGCTTAGTTTTGATGTTAATACTTATTTTCCTTTTTCTTTTAAGGTTACCAGTGATCTTCTATAGTTATGTCATTGAGTAAGGGACGTTACCTCCAAAAATGAGATATGACAGCTTAAAATCAGGGGTTAGAGAGTATGCATTTGAAACAATAAGTATTTTCACATCAGCAATGCAAGATTGCACAAGCAAATCTGGTACACAATGGCATCTCTATAAAAATAAAACAAAATTTATACACACACAGTCCTTACACACCTTTTTAATCATAATAAAAAAAATAATCTGTGAGTGCCCCTTGCTTTGAGCTTTCTGATGGGGACCATTTTCTTCTGTGATTTCTTCCTAATGCCTTGTGGTAAACAGGTGTCAGGTGAAAGCCAGTTTCCTGACTGGTGCCCTGCCCTTACAGAAGCTGCTGTTCTGCTGCAGACGCCACAGCTACCAAGTACTTACACACTGACATTATCAACTCAGTACATTTATAAGCTTCTGTGCAGCCACCCTAATCCACGTCTGTAAGCCTAATATTTCTAAAGTATATCATGGAATGACATTCAGCTTATCTTACTTATCTTCACCAGGAATCCAATATCCTCTTTTTTTATGTACAGATTCTTATGCTGGCATTCAGAATCCTCCATTCTTTGGTTTGAAAACTTTCCATCCAGGT